AATGGTGTGAACCCAGGAGGTGGAGCTTGCAGTGAGCCAAGATTGCACCACTGCACGCTAGCCCGAGTGGCAGAGTGAGACTCCGTCTCAAAAAAAAAAAAAAAAAAAAGGGTTGCTGCCCCAAATCACATGACTTTGCTTCTTTGCTTACTCATGACAACTTCCCAGAGGGATAACTGACTCATTATTTGTGTGCATGCTATGGGCAATTTTCCCTGTAAGGGAATTCTCTGATTAGGAATGATTATAAGAAATATATTCCTGACTCTAGGTAAAACATACTACATTGGCCCTGGATGGTACTACCTTGACCCTGGAAAGTATTCAGTTCATTTGCAACTCAATGACCAGTGTTGCTATGGATGATAAAATCATCCTTGCTATGCAAGGTAGATTCTGTGAAATCATGAATTCACTCTGACTTACCTGGATTGATTTTCAGGTCAAGTGAAAATGTCAATATAAAAAATTAAGGAGGAAGCCACTTGATTTGTTAAGATAGAACCTCATGATTTGTGAAATTTGTTTAGTTGGTTTATTTGGAGTCTTATTTGAGGTCCTAAATGGGACATGTTTGAGGTCAGTGCTGAAGATTGGCCTCATCTTGATCTTCACTGTGTTATTGGTTGCAAATTTAATTAAAGACCTTATAGGACAAATGGAATAGCTTTGATTCCAGACTCAGTCAGTAAGATTAATTCTAAAGGTCAATGTAATTATGGGAAAATGTACTAGAAACCCAGACTGTAGAAACAAAGGGTGGATATGATTGGACATTCTCAAGAAGTCTCATATTTTCACATACTTGCAAATAGAAGCATTGACTCTGTTCAGCACTAGCTTTTCAAGAATGGCTGTGTAGGAAACTGCCTTGGAAAATAAAGATAGTATCTCCCTACAGAGAAAATGAAAAGTTTGCTTACAGTCCAGTATAATAAAGATAATATCTCTCCATAAGGCAAGCATCAGGTCAACTTAGTGTCTAGTAAAAGAGACATAGTTTGCTAAATAAAGTGCTTTCTTTTCCTCCAATAACGCAATCCAATGCATGTGCAGGTATCAGATGGTGTTTATTTCACCCTATAGAAATTGAGGGTCAAAAATTCAGCACAAATGTTGATACTCTGGCTACTGCTATTCCTGTAATAAAGTGTCCTCTGTCTTTCACGCAGGAGTATTGTGTCTCCTTCTAGCTCCCCTGAAACTAGGGAAGAATAACTTGTTAGTTTGCAAGTAGGGTAAAATCTCAGTCTTAACTTTTCTTGACACCAAATACAATATCTAAAAGATAATATCTAAAAGATGAAACTCCTCTTTCATTACCTAATATAACATAGTGATTCTCAATATGGAATTTAAATGTAGACTGACTTTGTGATATGGAGCACACCTCACCTCCCTTCTTTGTCTTAGGTTTTGTGGTAGGCAGGACTTTTAAGAGGCCCCCAAGATTTCTGTCCTTAGTATACATGCCCTGTTTCATGTCTTCCAAGCTATGTGTGGAAGAGACTTGTGAATAGCATAGGATATTATTTCCACGATTAAGTCAGTAATTGGTTGCCTTTACGTTAATCAAAAAGGAAATCATCTTGGGTGAATCTAAGCTAATCAGGTGAGTCATTTTAAAGACAGTCTACAAGTTAAAAAAAGAAAAAAAAAGTCTTTCAGCTTGATTTGAAGCATTAGCAGGTATTTTTCTTCGAGGTCATTAGATGATAAGCAAACAGCCACATTGCAAGCTGTCTATGGAGAGGGGCAGCTGCTAGAAGCTGAGGACCTCAGCCTTATAAAGAGAATTCTTACAAAGAAGAGAATTGCCAAAACCTACAGAAGTTTAGGAACAAACCCTGGGCTCCGAATGAGAACGATCACATGGCTGGCAGTTTGATTTTAGCTGTGTGGTTTCCTGAGCAGTGAATTGAGCCACGTCATGCCCCGACTCCTGGCCTTCAGAAACTATGAGGTAATTTTTGTAATTTTAAGTTGCTTAATGTTTAGTTGTTTCTTGCACAGCGTAGAAAATAAACGTGATTTTTTTATATCCTAAAAATGTGGTTAAAAGCAGCATTTGCCTCATAGCTTCCCTGGGAGGATTAAACGAGTAAATATACATTAAAATGGTTTCAGAAGTGCCTGGTCCACAGTAAGAGCTATGTAAAGGCTCGGTCTTATGATTATATATGATTGCTTTAAGCTTGCTAACTTGTGCTTTTATCACCTAATAATTCTAAGTGGGGGTGCCAGGAAACACCAGTTTTTCACTTACATAAGAAAATAATCATAGCTTCACTAAGTCATTTATAATACACTGTGAAGACGTTTGGCTACATGGAAAATGTTAAGTGGAAAAACTATTTTTGCTTCTTGCAAGCTTCCTGGAAGCCTCCAAAGCAAGCACATGCTGAACATGGCTCATTGCAAACTGTGAAGGAGGCAAAGCTGCTCCTTTAGTTTCCAGACCTCCGCATTTGCCTCACCACCTTTTGAAGCTTTTTATATAGATATATTCCCACGCATATGCATAATTTTAAATACATGCATAAATGTAATAAAAATATAGGTATTTTGTTTCAATCTAATTTCCCTCTTTTAGTTGTGGGATTGGCCTTTCTCTTCTTATCACTTTGCCACCTCTCCTAAGTGACTTCACCCTTCCCAACATCATACATTTACCCAAAACCACAAAACACCTAATATGCATCCTACTACACACACAGACACACACACACACACACACAGACACACACACACATGTACACAGATAGGTTGTCCAGACATGGTTTGAAAATGTATTCACATTGTCCATATGATACATTTTATTAAATATGCAATTTTATTTATATGCATGTATAAATATATATTTATGCATATACATAAACATATGTGTTTATTTCATACTTTACTTTTCTCACTAAACAATTACCTCATGAAAATACCTTCCTGCCAACTTTATGTCTTTACTCTCTTCCCCATTTTTAATGTTCATCTCCCTCCCACAAAAAACAGATCCCACCCTACTTGTCAATGGTCTCTTACTTCACCAACAGAGTGGTGTGGGCTGCATCATGGTAGGTGGGAGGAAGTAGGGAGGTGAATGGGAGGTTTGCATTGTTTTCAATTCAGGAACATATATGCTTTACAGGTCTTCTTTAGATAGCATTTGTGGAAGTGATGAAGTGCGTGGTCCACACTGGCCATATGACAGCCCTGAATCTCTTGACCTGACCAGCCAGTGACTAATTTCTGGATTCTGTCAATTCTTGGACTTGAGACATGGTTTTCTTATTAAATCAGTTGTAATGAAAACCTAAGTCAGGCCTGGTGCGGTGGCCTACACATGTAATCCCAGCATTTTGGGAGGCCTATTTGGGCAGATCACGAGGTCGGGAGTTCGAGACCAACCTGGCCAACATGGTGAAACCCAACCCCATTTCTACTAAAAATACAAAAATTAGACAGGCGTGGTGGTGGGCACCTGTAATCCCAGCTACTTGGGAGGCTGAGGGAGGAGAATTGCTTAAGCATGAGAGGTGGAGGTTGCAGTGAGCCGAAATCACACCACTGAACTCCAGCCTGGGTGACAGAGCGAGACTCCGTCTCAAAAAAAAAAAAAAAAGGAAGAGGAAAAAAAAGAAAAGAAAACCTAAGCCAGAGCTTTGTTTGAAACCAGGTAAAGGAGCTACAATAAAGCAGATGTCAGTGAGCTGCTGATGAAAGAGATCAACTTTCTACTCCTATTTCAAATTTTTAGCAAAAAATCATATAAGTTTATAAGAAAATGACTAATAATTGTTTTCCACACGGCCTAAGAAAATAAGGTATTATTTAGGATTGAATATAGATTGTCATTTCAGAGTAAGAGTGGAAAACTGTTACGGATTGAATTGTGTTCCCCAATGTATAGGCTAAAGTCCTTACACCAAGTATTTCAGACTGGGACCTTATTTGGATGCAGGGTTTTTATAAAGGTAATTATGTTAAGATAAGATCATTAGCCTAGGCCCTAATCCTCTATGACCTGTGTTCTTATAAAAAGGAGGACTTTGGAGACAGAAATGCACACAGGGAGAACACTATGCAAAAAGACACAGAGAGAAGAAAGCACCTACCAGCAAGGAAGAGAGGCCTGTACCAAATTCTTCCCTGACAGCCCTCAGAAGAAATCAGCCCTGCTGGCACCTTGACATAAGAAAATAAATGTTATAAATGTATGTAGGTTTTGGTACTTGTTACAGCAGCCATAACAAACAAATACAGCAACTTACAACCACAAACCAAATGTGGTCTACCACTTTTATTTTTAAATAAAGTTTTATTGGAACACAGCCACAGCCATTTGTGTACATATTGCCTACAGCTACTTTTGCACTAAATAAAATAACTGAATAGTTGCGAAGTGAGATCATGTGGCCCACAATGCCTAAAATATGTATAATCTGTCCTTTTACAAACAAAGTTTGCCAAGTCTGACACAGAAGTCTTATTGTACATCTTCTGTGTCCCAGATGTCCCAGCCTCCCAGGTCAGTCACCCCCAGCTAGACTCATACTCTCACACTTGCTTGGGTAAGACTCAGTTTCTCCACAGGTTCTTCTCTATAAACCTTCCAAGATACTTCCTGGATTCCAGTACTGACCATGTAGAGCGCTTTTCTAGAATGTCAGACTTCTTTGATGTAGAAATGGTGACTGTGTTTTTTGTTGTTGTTGTTTTGTTTTGTTTTAAAGCCACTGAGGATTTGTAGTCAACATTCCTTTATCTCTTGCACAGATGACCAGCTGTCCATATCCTCTATCACTTTCTCAAATACTAATGAATGCATACGATGGGCCACACAATATTTTACACTTTACATTTATTAGTGAACTTATTTTTCACAATAAATTTATGAGATAGGTACTAGCATTAGCTCCATATTACATATAATAAATCTAAGGAACAGTGAATTTGCTTTTAGCTAACATAGACAATGCCACACTGTGTGAGGAAACTCAGCTACAATTGCAGGCATTATGCCCAATGATGCAATACTCTTACTTATTTTGCTGTGCTTCTGTCTTATTTTTCCTCCTGCATTACACAAAATGTAGGGTCTGGAAGTCCAATAGTTATACTACTTACTCATTGTTACCAGGAGACTCTCTTCTTTTGTCTCTCAAAAATGACACCTGCTATGATTTACATACAATCAGATATACCACTGGTATTCCTTTTAGAGACAAGAAGGTTCTTGTCTGATTTCCTTGTCTCCACCCTGCATATATCTATACTCTATACTCATTTGTCCTTGTGTCCCTTTGCCATACTTCCCCGGTCAAAAATCTAAGCTGGTTAAGACCAACTCCAGGGCATTCTGTGCCTGCATTTGATTACTCCATCCTCACTTCTGGGTGGCCCAGAAAGAAAACGTTGAAAGAAAATACTCTTCAGTAATCAGAACATCAGGTGATACAAATAATTGTCCACTTGGTGTACGAAGAGAATAGCCTCATATGTGGATCTATACTGATCCATTGCTCATTGCTAACTGGTTGGTCAACTGGTCAGATATTTAAAAGACTATCACTAGAAAACAGATGGCCAAGAGGTCTAAAGGAGATGTAGGAATTATCCTGTAGATATCCTGCTGTTCTTTTCTCAACCAATATGGTGATTGCTCAAAGGGCTCATGCTCCCAAAGTGGTTTTGTTATAGGAGTTATTGAGAAATTATTTTAGGCAGACAGAAAGGAAAAGGGGTCATTGGGAAGTTTTTGTTTCTTTTAAAGCAGCTACAGAAACGTTTATTGTCTAGCAGGATAGCCCTGGCTTTTAGAGCCTGGCCGGCAAGCTTTGATGTAGATATGCCCTCCATTATGAATTGGGTCCACCCAAACATGGCAATTCCTGCTGAGTTCTTCTTGCCCTTGCCCCAACGTGCCTGGCAATATGGCCGCCTCCGCATATCCCTACTTATGTAGAACATCAAGGTGCCCTGTATTTGCATATTAAAAGACTAGGGTGGCAGGGCTAGTTTTTTCACTGGTTACGTGAGTGACATGCCTGGTTAAACCAATCCCCTGAGCCCTATGCAAATCAGACACCACCTACTCCAGCCTTCTCATATAAGCAGCCACTTTTCCACTGCACACGGGTTTTATTCTTTGTTCTAATCCCCCCTCCCTCTGTCTCTGTGCAGGGGAGCTGTTTTCTTCTTCCTTCTTTCTTGCCTATTAGACTTTTCACTCCTTAAAACCACTCCACGTGTGCCCATGTCATTAATCCTATGGGCGCAAGACCAAGAACGGTAGTGTTCCTCATCAGAGCTATATCAGTTTGGTTTGCAGAGATAAGAGCTATAAATTCTCCCCTTTTTTTCTCATTTAAATGCATCTAACTATGTGCTGGGTAATCAACCTACCAACAGAAGAAATCACAGGGAAGCTTCAGATTTGGATCTAGCATATAACTGCTAAGGCAGGAGTCTACGACCTTTCTCTGCAAATAGCTAGATAGTAAATATCTTAGACTTTGTGGACCATATGGTCTGTATTGCAGCGACTAAACTCTGACTGCCATTATAACCCAAAAGCAGCAATAGGGAGTAAATATATCAATGAGTGTAGTTGTAACTCAATTACATTTTGTTAAAAACAGAGACAAGACTTTACCGAAGAGCTTTAGCTTGCAAACCCTGTCCTGAGGTTATCATTCAGTTACCTGGTGACAATATAATTGATTACGTTATGCTTTCCCACCATGAATGAAGCAGTTGTTTCTTTTAAAAGAGCAGACTACTGAGTCCGGTATGGATTTTTCTCTCCTCCATGCAGTGCTTCTGCCAGGCCTACCATTTGTGCATTTATGCTTCCATTTGTGGCATTACCATGGTATTTCACTCAGTATCACCTTTAACAATTGCCAACTTAGAAGGAAGACAGTGGGACAATGGTATAATGCCCACAGCATTTCCCAGTGATATCACATACCCCATCACCCAGAAGCAGCTGCCTTGATGGAATTGGAAAGGCAATTTCAGCTCTAAATCACCACAAAACTTCAGTGGCTTAAAGACAATCATTATGTCTACATCAGCATCTGGCTGGCTAGCTGTGGATCTGCAGATCATTCCTGGGCTTGCTTGGGCTTAGCTGAGGTCTAGTGTATGATTGTTCCTCACATATCTCATGTATACGTGGAGGCTGAAGTCATAGCGGTTATTTTGTATCAGGAATGTAAGAGACTGAAAGGGCACACACAATGTCTCTTAAAGCCTTTGTTCATCACAGAATTGGCATAGTCACTTCTGTTTATAATCTATCCGTTAAAGCAAGTCAGCAGGTTAAGCCTAAAGTCAGACTGGTGGAAAAACATATGAAGCTGGATAGGGAGAAAAGGATAGGAGAAAAGAAAATTGAACATTTGCTGAAATAATTTAATCTACCAGGGATGAGCTGAAAGCATAGTTACAGTACTCTCTGAGACCTATTGACCAGTACATTGAGTCCTAGTGTATATGAAATATGTGCTAACCCAGTATCCAGTAGACAGTGCCATCTTGCTGTAGCAAAAATCAATGTATCGTGGAACTAAGTGGTAGAGTCAGGAGTGACTGCTTTCTTCATGTTACCAGAGAACACAGTTTAACAATTTTTAGCCTCAGAATTAATCAACTGAAACCTAGTGCCAAAACAAAGACTATTTTCACCAGGAATCCAGTCAGGGCTCCAATTAATTGGCAGTAGAGACTATCCCCTGGCTATTTTGGGCTCTTTGTAACCCTAAAGCAACGGACAAAAAAAGGAGCATCACTCTATGACCTAGTGAGCTTGATCCCAATTATCCAGGAGATACAGAGTTACTGATGTATGCTGAGGATAAAGAGAACAATCCGGAACAAGAGATTTACTGAGGTGCTCTTAGTACTCCAATTGCACAATAGTCCTGGTCAATTGAAATTGTAGCAACTCATTCCAGAGAAGACAATCAGATAGTAGGTAACTGCAGTAATGAAGGTTGGCACACTCCGGGCAGTCATGATACTGACCAAAGATAAGGGAATATGGAATGAATGGGTGGTAGAAGAGGCAGCTATGATTACCACCTCGTGCATTAGGAAATTGACTGTAGTAGCTATGTTTAAGCTGTTATTACTATACCTGTGATGGCTAGCATTTTAGGTTTCTCCTATTGTTTGGGAAGATGATGGGCTGTACCTATGCCCAATGTTTGGTAATCAAATTGTTATAAAATATTATCCAAAATGTTTATAAATGCATGTTTGCTTTTTGGATAAGTACATTTATTTCATGTTAAAAAAGTTAATACAGGTCAGTTCTCTGGGTAGCCCTGGAAAAATCCAGTTATCCCCACTCCAAGTTATTTGCTTATTGTTCTCAGGAATAACTGTAGAATGTGTTGGGATGCAGTATGCTAAGATAGCAACGAACTGCCTGAAACGGCCTGGGTCTTATTCCTGTTGCACCTAAAAAAGGTAACATCTTGCGATACAGAGCAAATCCCCAGGACAGTCCCAGCTTTGTTCCTCTCTCCTGTTGCACCTAAAAAAATGTAACATCTTGGGATACAGAGGAAATGCCCAGGACAGCCCCAGCTTTGCTCCTTTCTCACCTGGAAACAGGATATCCTTTAAAGCTTTGCCCAGTCAGTCACCATGCCCCTGAGGTATATGACCCAAGGCTGCCTTTCAGTGTCCCTCAGCTGTGGTGCAAGTAAGGCACGTGCAGTCAATACTCCATCCATCCTGGTCAGTTTCTTGAGCCTTGAGGGACTGGCTCATGATAGATGCTAGGCTTCTTTTGTCTCTTGTTGCCTATCTCTAAATAAGAAAGTCATTTCATGTAACTTGTAGTATGTGAGTATATTTCTGTATCACTGAACTCAAATACGTAGGTAAACAGTATATTAACTTGCCTGACAGTTCAAAATCTATCATTCAAAAAATAAAAATGCACATTTGAAAGATTTCTATTTGTCCTACTTATTTTCAGTATTAGTCTATTTTGCATGTTAGCTAGTTATGAATGTCTGTACTCAAATATAGGGAAAAAGTGTAAATTTTTTTTCTTGATTTCAAGTAACTGAGATTTCAATAAAAGGCTCTTTTCATGTCTTCTTTTTTTCCACATTTTGATTCTGTGACTCTGTTCTTACGTAATAGAATAAGTGCTGAGCTAGCAGTTGGGGAATTTGGATTTTATTATTGTCTCCATCCTTTATTAATTTTGTGATTTTATGCATGACACTTAATTGCACTAAAAATGTATTTTATAATCTGTAAAAGGAAAGAGAACTTATACATTAACTCAATTGAAATCTTTAAATAATCTCTAATGTAAGAGTCCCCTAAATGATATATGTATTTATTTTAGCTATAAAATAACATGTTATTTGAATAAGTAATAACTATTTGTTTAATTTACATGTATATCAAAATATTCCTCAAATAAAGATGTTTGACCAATGAAACTTGATTTTAGATGCCAATTTCAGAATCTGAAATAAAATACTTTATTTATTATAAAATAATTTTTCATAAACTAAAAATGTCTTTGAAATATACATGAACATATATTAAAACAAATATTTTCTATTGACATTTTAGTACATGTAATACATATTAAATACATATTTATTTTAAAATAGTTTGTAAAATTTACTTAAAATACTTGTTATTGTACCTGTGGACTTTTCATTTTAAAATAACATGTTTTTCATAAAGCAAATAAAAACTATCTAAAGTATTTTTTTTTTCTTTACGGGTTTCTATAGAGAAAAAAAAAATCCTACTTTACAAGAAAGAGCAGCAAGGAGAATATGACCTGTCTCTTCAAGAATGAATTCTAAGAAGATTAATATAAAAACAAATCCTAAAGACCAATTTCTAAAATCAAGGAACAGAATTTTGATTTTGGAATTCTAGATGATCATAAATTATTTATTTTACCACAATTATGACTCAGAAATTTTAAAGAAGCAAAAACCTTTTATAACATTTTACAAAACAACAAAAAAAAACACATTCCACTGTTTTTAACACACCTTGAATGTAAAACTGTTTATAATGGTCTTAATTGCATGTTACAATGGCAACTCTTAGCAATTTTAACTGTAATATAAAACCTGGTGGGTTGTGTTCTGATGAGATTTGCCTATTTCCAGCATAGTAAAGATGTGGTCAATTCCACATGTCCCCAGGCCTTACCTAGCTAGAAGTGTGGTAGGCATTATTAAGAAGTTATTTTAGGCAGATAGAGAGGAAAAGGGGTCCTTGGAAAGTTTTCATTTTTAAAGCAGCTCCAGAAAAGTTTGTCTAGCAGAAAAGCCTTGGCTCTCAGACCCTGGCGGGCAACCTTTGATATGCAAATGTAGGCCATTAGAAACTGGGTCCACCCAACATAGCCGGGAGGTCAACTTTTAATATGCAAACGCCAGCCTGTAGAAACTGGGTCCACCCGTCGTGGTGATTCCCACCATTGTCCTCTTGCCCTTGACCCTACAGGTGTCTGACAGCATAGCTGCCCTCACATGTCGCCATGTTGTAGAACATCATGGCGCCCTGTATTTGCATACTAAAAGGCTAGAGTAGGGGGGGTCAGTTTTTTCCTCTGGCTACATGAATGACATGCCTGGTCAAACCAATCCCCTGAGTTCTATGCAAATCAGACACCACCTTATCCAGCCATCGCCTACAACTAGTATACCTGAATGTGGGGTCTCCTCTCTAGCCTTTGGAGCCTCTCTCCCTTTGTCTCTGTACAGGGGAGCTTCCTGCTTCTTTCTTCTTCCTTCTATCTTGCCTATTAAATTTTCCACTCCTTAAAACCACTCCACGTGTTTTTGTGTCATTTTATCTAATTCGACTCCAGATGAAGAAACTGATGTTCCTCCATTTATTGGAGTGGTATCAGAAGCAAGTTAAACAATTTTCAAAAGCCAAAGAAGCAGTTTATGACCTTAAAGTGTTTAGCAAACCTAATATTTGACCATAATTTAGACCATGTATTTACATTTTGAAGACAATCCTATTTTACCAATAATCTTGAAAGCTACCTTTATTTCCCAAAGATTGCTGAAGTCTTATGAACTGAAAGGCATTACGCTTTCTATGTTTCTGACAAAATATTTGAGTTAAGTTCTTCTTCTTATTAAACCAATCAATTTAAGACTTCACAGAGGAGATTAACCAGTTTGCATAGAGAGAAAGAAGCCAGAGACTGAACGGTAAGACATTTTTACCCTTTTGCCGGCATGCCAGGTTTCTGGGTTCTCTCGCCCTCTGTCCCGGTGACCCTGTTTGGCTGTATGCAAACAAACACATTGCCATGAGTTAAGAATATTCATAGATAGCTTACACATTTTGGAAAAATTAGGCAGAGAGAGAGAAATATGACCCAAATTCTACTTGTGAGAGTATACGCACCATACTTACAGCATCAGGAAGCCTAAAATCCAAAATGTTAGCTGGAATAGAAAGCTGGTGTGTTCCATTAATTCCTGCAGCCCCACAAACGTAGCTTAGGAATGCCAGATAAATGAAACAGATGATGACTCACTAGAATTGTATAGAAAACAAAATACCAGAACCAAATAAAAGCCTTCCACTAGAAACTAAAAATTGTCATGGTTTTATATATATATGGATACACAAGCAAAGCCAGAGGAGAATAAACAGCAAACAAATGAAAACTAGAAGCAAAAACAAATAAGCAGGAAACTAACCTTAAATTTTCCTACTCAATTTACCCTAGAGGCTAGTGTTACTCAGGGCCCCAAAAAAACCACATAATGAATATTTTATTCCTGATACACAATTCAACATCCTTAAGTTCACCAATATCATTGTACATTCAGTGCCATTAAGAAATTCACTTTAGGCTTATGGCCAAAATAAGTACTCCAGCACTATCCATGCCAAACGGCAAATGTGGTGTGAAGCAATGCAAGCATGGATGTGAAATTTGGCTTTAGGCTAAATTCAGCTTCATGCTTAACTATATTAAAAAAAGAATTGCCAAACTGCTGATGCACTTCTTTACAATACATCTTATTTTACTTTAATTAAGACTAAGAGCTTTAACTATGAAAATGTTTCTTAGCCAAATATATTCATTTATCTATCTGTATTTAAAGAATATTTTATTATTTAAACTTTTCCACATCTTCCTTCCCTACTTAATGATTTCTTACTATGTTGTTTCATAAATAACCTTTTCAAATCTGTAACTTGAACTAACTTTTAGATAACGTCTGCATTAGACAAAATTATTCTTTTTCTTTTTTTTCACTAACAGCATAACCCTTTCTGGCGCATTTTGTATACAGAATTACATGTTAAAGAGAATTAGATATGAGTATTTATAGACAGAACAATTCCAGAATTTTCCCCTTATCAACCCTTTCTTAATTGGAAATGATCCAGATAGTAAATGAGCATCAAAAATAACCTTAAGGTTTTAATTTACATAAAAAAACTTGCCTAAAACATTTATCTCATTTACTGTACTTAATTTTTACTTTTAACAAGGGAGACATGAGACATCAATCAACATATGTTTGATTCAGAAAGGAGGAAAGGAGGGACCACTGGAGGTGAGGAGTGGGACTTGGGAGTTTTCAGATCACAGGTGGGAGACAAAGGTTGCATTCCTCTGAGTTTCCAATTAGCCTTTCCAAAGGAAGCATCAAATATGCATTTATCTCAGTGAGACTGTGAATAAAATGGGAGGCAGGCTCTCTCTTAGCATCTCCCAGCTTAAATTAACACACTGACATTTTAAAATATCCATCAAAGACAAACATAAAATTCAGACAAAATGTACACTGACAATCACGAAGGCATTTCTATTTTTATTCCACCAACAATTTTAAAGCCAGCTTATTTAGTAAAGTTATACTTAGGTCACGTGAGCTTGAAAATTGCTTAGACTTATTTACTTAATTTGTGAGCGCTCTTTTATTTATAAGCCAATTTGGTAGACACAACATATAATAACACGTGTACATAAAATAAACACATCTAGACATCCATATACACATATAAATGAAGATCTAATAGCTTGGAACTTTAGCCATGAGATAGCAATACAAGCTTGACAGTTTTACTTTGCCCCAATAGATAATCCAAGGAAGGTTGTGAACCAGAATTTTGGGTATAATAGTCTCCATGACAGTTTAATTTTTAAGGCTAAACCTCCCCAGACTCCAAGGAGCACTGGGGCCAAACAGTACCAAAGGAAGGCGTCATTCGTTAACCAGTCCCCTGTTTTAGAATAGTAGCACAACAGCCTGGACACAGGCAACACCATTCCACTTTGTCATTAAATAGTAAACTTCATATTCTAAACAATTTTGGGGCCAAGCAGCATTGCAACTAGGAAAGAAAATTCTAAGAAGCGCTTAATACTCGACCTCAGAACCTCTGCCAAGGTCGTCCCTTTTGAGCAGGTTGAGGTCTGCAAGGCCCACAGAGTGTCATCCTGTGGGGTCCAGTCTGAGAGTTCCAGACATCTCTGGCCTTAGGTGGGCACTGGTGCTACTTTGCATGCATTCCCTCCAGAGCCTGCTATGACCTTTCCTTGGTACCCAGGTGTAATCCCCGACTTTTAGCATCCTTATCATTTGGTAAGGCCACGCTTACCCAAGCTTCCGGTTCCATGAACTTTAATCACAGAAACTGGAGCTGGGTGCATTTCCTTTGCCCCTACCCAGTTGAATAGGGGAAGGGAAGAATTTAGTATAAGAAACGAAGGTTTAAGTTGCCTAAAACTTGTGCGAGTTTTGAGCTGTGCCACGCACAGGAATCAGGGACCACATGAAGAAAAGATTCAAAAAGTCCTCTTACCTTAGGGACATGGTAATTGATTCCCATTCATTGCTAGGCCTTCAGGCAGTACCGGGAGTAATCCCAGTCAATTGCCCTCAATTTCCAAGGATCTACTAAGAAACAGCTGCTGAAAGACTGAAAAAGAAAAAGAGGAGAAAACAATGAAGAAGACCCAAGTTCCTTAAGCCAGCTGAGTGGTGGTGGCCAGGCTTCTCTGCATGGAAACCCTTTAGTTTCACTGACCACAGCCAGAAACCTACAGTTGCTTCCATGTGTAGGGACTACCCACCAAGGGTCCCAAGTTGGAAAGAAAAAGATGAAGAAAGAGATTCCCCTGTATGGAGCACAAAGGGAAAAAAGAAAGGAGAATAAATCCCAAACTTTGGGATTACCTCTTCCTCCGGGCTGGCTCGCCAAAATATGGTAATGGTGGAGTGTGTCCAGGTTCTTGGCATCTTGAACAAATAATTGGACAAAACGCACAAAGCAAGGAAGGAATGAAGGAATTTCTTCTCTTTGGCCGGGCGTGTTGGCTCACGTTTGTAATCCCAGCACTTTGGGAGGCCTAGGTAGGTGTATCACCTGAGGTTGGGAGTTCGAGATCAGCCTGACCAACATGGAGAAACCCTGTCTCTACTAAAATTAGCCGGGCGTGGTGGTGCATGCCTGTAATCCCAGCTACTCAGGAGGCTGAGGCAGGAGAATCATTTGAACCCAGGAGGAGGAGGTTGCAGTGAGCTGGGATCACACCATTGCACTCCAGCCTGGGCAACAAGAGCGAAACTCCATCTCAGATAAATAAATAAATAAATAAAAGAAAATGAAAGTATACTCTACAGCGTGGGAATGGGCCTGAAATATAGCAGCTCAAAGGCCCTGTTACAGAGGTGTTTTGGAGGTTACATACTCTCTGCTTGGGGAGCGCTCTATGTAAATGAGGAGGATTAAGTACAGGTACAAAGTCATTTACTGTGTATGCTCTATGGGGAGGATATTTCCTGTTATAGCTGAAGTGTGAATTGGCCTTATGTTCCCTGTCCCCAGACCCTATTTTCCTGCCCCACCCCTATCTCCAAGTTTCTGTAGGAGTGTAAGAGCCAAACTTCTGTGGAAACCTTGCTTCAAGTGGCAAAACTCCTTCCTGTCATAAAGATATGAGAAGTTTATTTTTTCTTTGGAAAATGCCAATTAGCTAACACAGAGGGTCAATGCAACCGCCAAGTGATTTTAGGATGAACTGCCTGTGACAAGTGGTGTTGTCAAGTCCTCATACTTGAGGACTACTTATTGTTGATCTTGTATGCAATGGATTGTATCTGCTTGACTACACAAAAAGGTAAGATTTCTATCTTTGCAATCTCTTAGAGAACGGCGTGGGATTTGCATTCCATTCTGGTTTAATGCTTATTAAAGATTTAAACTGTTATTCTTTCTTTTTTTTTTTTTTTTTTGAGACGGAGTCTTGCTTTGTCGCCTAGGCTGGAGTGCAGTGGCGCATCTCAGCTCACTGCAAGCTCTGCCTCCTGGGTTCATGCCATTCTCCTGCCTCAGCCTCCCAGTAGCTGGGACTACATGTGCGCACCACCACGCCTGGCTAATTTTTTGTATTTTTAGTAGCCAGGATGGCCTCAATCTCCTGACCTCGTGATCCACCTGCCTCGGCCTCCCAAGGTGCTGGGATTACAGGCGTGAGCCACCGTGCCTGGCCAAACTGTTATTCTTTCTCTTCACCCTTATGGAAAGATTTTCTAGGTTGGAAGAATATTTTGTTTTAAATTATGTTTCTCTGACACTCAGTATGTCCCTTCTTGACCACGTTTCAAGAGAGCAGAACTACGTAATTTTCTGCACAAATATCAACCCTGTATTACAACATAAACAGGTCTTTTCTCAGGATCTAGTTTCCCAAGGGCAGATCACAGTCACTGTGCACAATTCTAAGCATGTTTGGTGCCCAAGGATTATCTGCTTGGGAGTCCTTATGAAGATGCACATAAGCCCACAAAAGTTTTCCAGGTACCAGAAGCGGCCTGGGTTGAAAAAACAGAAATGAAAAAAACCACCAAAGATAGCCATTGATTGGCACGAGGGTAGCTCTCTTTTCTCTGCCATGTGCCAACTCTTAGAAGCAGGATCATTTTAATTTCAAATTCAACCTTTTAGTCCCAGAATGTTTTAAAAAACAAAGATGGAAGCAAGATGATTCCCATAGAGCACTTCGTGGTCAAATACTGCCTGGCTCTTAATTTGGAATGTGGAAAAAATTATTATTTCTGCCCTCGGGCCCTTTTAGAGGTCCCGGCATGGTAGGGGTAGAAGAGGGATAATGGGTGAGAAAACAGGCAGACATCAGGAAGAAATGGGAATAGCTCTCCATAAAGTGAGAGAGAATAGAATGGAAGTTTGTTTCACAAATTTCCCAAGTGGTTAGAAAGGGAGACTGAGTATGTGATACAGTCTATCACTTTACACATGATGATTTATTTTGACTTTATGTAGGAATATTTATCACAGTAGTAAGAAAGATCATAATATATTTTATAGCTATTTTTTCTTAAAATATTTTCAATACCTATATATGATATAAGGGATTTCATATGTACTATGGTATATTAAACAATAAGAGCAGAGCCATTGAAAAGAATCAATGGCAGACATGAGCAGCCATCCCCCAGTGAAACAGCATTTGGCATGTTGCTCCTATGTCCAAGCTTAGGAGGGCTGCAGAACCCATAGGCCCTCTTCAGGGAGGCCCAGTGAGGGAGGGGAAATGGTAGTGAGAGAGTTCTAGAGGGAGACTGACATGTGTCTCCTGGAGTTGTGGGTATATATGAAAGCTAATGGTGCCGAATTACTAGTCTGGAGGTTTAGTAAGGAGAGACTTATGTTACCACAGTGTAGAAGAACCCGGGAAGCAAAGAAATGCAATTAAACCCATGTACATAAACCTCCATGCCATTCTTTGTGATCCTTTAAAGACATAAAAGAGGCTCTGATTTTCCAGTGTTTACAGTGAAGAAGCCAGGAAGCTAAAGGAGGAGGCAGAACTCTGGCAAAAATACACAAAGCTTCATAAGTAAAGGTGAGCTATGGTTTAAATGTGTCTCCCAAAATTCACCTGTTGGAAACTTAATCCCCAATACAATTGTACTGGGAGATATAACCTAATGAGAGGTGTCTGGATCATGAGAAATCTGTCCTCATGGTTAGATTTATGCTGTTATTAAAAGGGCTTTGAGGAATGGGCTCTCTCTTGTGTTCTCCTGTCTTCTGCTATAGGGTGACACAGCAAAAAGGCCCTTGCCAGATGCCAATTCCTTGAACTTAGGCCTTCACAGCCTCCAGAACTGTGAGAAAATAAATGTCTGCTTATTATAAATTACCCAGTCTCAGATATTCTGTTGTAGCAGCACAACCAGAATAAGTCACTGTGTTTTGGGGGACATGGGTGTACTGTATTGAGTGTTGTGAGTGACAGAAGGGCTGGAGCAAGCTGAACATGGCCTAGAGAACACCACAGACATCCACACTCTCTGGAGAATACAGCCTGAGCCACTGGCAGCAGACAGAATAAATCCCTATTAGGCCAAGGACTCACCTCCTTGCCTGTGAAGACTTACATAAGAAAAACTCTGCCTTCATTACCCCACCCTTCCTGTCCCCTAATAGAAGAAGTTTCTGATCCAATGAATAGAGCAGAGCAGGGAGAAAGAGGAGGGAAAGATGCACTCTTATTTGAGAGCCAAGGTCCTGGAGTGTGAGAAGTCGGAAAGCAGACCACAATCTTCTCTCCCTTTTGGAAATGTCTTGTCGACAAATCCAGTCTGTGCTGTGATTGCTTTTCATAGGTGGAAGTGACTAGAATGCTGTGCAACCTGCCAGGGTAGTAAGTGACCACAAACACACACACACAGACACACTCACACAAAGGACAGAGAAATTCTACAAAGCAGAGTTAAAATCAGTCACCGCCCAAAATAAAACCAACATAATTTCATGTAAGTTAAGATGCCTCAGTAAAACAGAAATGGATGTACATATATGTGTAAATAGTATCAAACAAACGCATTGTGTTGCTGTGTTGTTTCATGTCAATAAATGTTATATTTCTGTTTCCAACTCTAAAAATATATTTATATTCTAAGATTTTCCTAGAAAATGGTTTATTTCAAAGTGATTTCCATATTACTGCACTAGAATTATACACACACCTTATATTTTAGTATCCTTACACATCTGTTTCTCTCTTTCTCTCCTACAATAAAAGAGAAATATATTTCTACCCACCTTTATGACATCTTCTTTTAAAGATCCTGCTGTAACTGCTAACTCAACACAATCAAAATTCAAATTCTAACCTTCTCATTGCTCCCACCTCCTGACTTCCTGGAATCGCTTTGAAACCTAATATCTCATTTCTATGAGTAGTTCTAAAGCCATAAAGTCACTATGACACTTCGATTTCTTTCAATCTCAATAAATAATGTATCTCCGACAGCTTTTTATTTCAGTCTCAGATTTCTACTATAGTTATATGCCTTCAAACTAATCATAGCCATAGCCACAAAAAATTAAAAAAAAAGATTTTCTTTTCTATTTATAGAATTTTTTTCTGTTGGTTGGACCAACTTATAGTAGCAATATGATTTCCCTTAAAGGTTTTTTATTGGTTTTCAAGGCCTTTCATATCTTTGTTATAGATGCCACTTTGTTTATTCTTTCTATTATAAGGCCATTTACATCCCATAGTAAAAGTTATCAACACACTTTCCAATTGTTGTGCCTGTCTGATTTAGTTTCCAGCACAAACCTTCTGTCCTAATTATTCTAGTCTTCACTTTTCTTCTCTGCTGCAAATGCCCTATTCATTGTTACTTCTGTTTCTTGGCGCATGTTATCCCTTCTCTTCTCTGATACCCACATTGTAATCATCTTTCAAAAACACAGACATTTTAATGTCTTTATTAAATCTCATTTGACTGCTTAAATCCCTACTAACTTCCTTGAAAAGAGACAACACAAATTACTTAGAGAGGATTTTTTAAAATTTTAAAATTTTAAATTTTTGTGGGTTTATAGTAGGTGTATATATTTATGAGGTACATGAAATGTTCTGTCACAGTTATGCAATTTGACATAATCATGCCATGGAGAATGGGGCATCCGTCACCTGAAGCATTTATCCTTTGGGTTACAAACAATTCAATTATATGTTTCTAGCTATTTTAAAATGTACAATTAAGTTTTTATTGACTATAGTCGCCTTGTTGTGCTATCAAATAGTAGTAAGTAAAGAGGACTTTTCTATAAAGAATGGTTTAACCATGTATATAAGGAATGAAAAGATTAAAACAAGGACGGGGAAGCCAGAGTGACCACAGAAAGCAGCTGAGATTTCTATGGCTGCAGGCGATAAAGAGAAGAGGCTGGCACTA